TCTTTCGCGAGTATAAATTCGCTCGTCGTTGCGGCAAGAGTAATTCTAATCCAACCTTGCCTAGCAGTGCGAGCACTGTACAAGTGAAATAAAGTCTCAGCCATTTACTGAGATCTGTTTTCATTATTCAGTGGTTAACCTTGCTATTCTCCTGTCCTACATGATAGTCTAAGAGCTCAACTTACAAGACTCTTTCTCCTATGAGAATAAAGCAGCCTTAGACTATCTCTTCTCATAATCATATCATTAGAGCCTAGAAATTCAGCTGTTTTTTTTTGCGGCACTGTTTGGCATTTCCCAGAAAGATGCGACAGTATTTAGCAAAATTTCAAACGGCACATCGATATGGCGAACTGTGTCGAATTAGAGTACGTTCATTGCTTGATAATTGAAATCTCTAATTGTTATAGAAATTCACTTATTCTATCTATCGCAAGCCACCGAGGACTGTCATTTTTGCAGCTTCAATTTTGAGTAGTAAATTTTCAAAGATTTCAGTAACGATTGTTGACGATCGTATAAGAACACCTCAGTCAATACTAGTCAGCCATTTTATAAGTACCATTTTATTATTTCAATTATATATCATTCTGTGTCAACTTCTTGCTTGTTGCTGAAAATTTAATTTGCAAAGGTATCTTAGAGTTCGAATTTCATTTATTATAACATATAACTCAATAAATGTTACACAGTTTACCATATACATAAAGACTTTTCGAAGTATAACTTGCCAATGATGTTGAGAATTTGAAAACGGCTTGTGCGTGCATTGTACAGTGCTTACGTATTTCCGCAAAGCTTTGGCTTAAATACGTTTTGAGCGAGATACGCTCAAAACGCGTTGACAAAGTTTCAACGCGCATGTCATCGCATGCGAGACAATTGAATAACGCAGAGATGAAATGATTTCGAGAGGAAGATAAGTTTAAATGAAAATAGAATCATGTTAATTAATATTTTGAGATATAATAGCTTTTAGATATTTATCTGAAAATGCTAGCAACGTTAGTTATTGACACGTGGCTTTCCTGCAATTCTCTTTTTTTGCTTAGATGTGAATGTTAGTGCCATTTGATTTTCATGTCGTTCGCCTACTCTCTGTCTCATTGACTTTTGTATAAACTTGTGAAATTTAAACATATAACATCGTAATTCCGACGGAAATAGAGATCTTTGATGTTATTTTTTGGCTTCAAGCTAACGATATTTATTTTGACATGTATTTCTTTTTCTCATTTTAAGCTTACGATACTAATTTTATCCGAAAAATTTTGAAAAGAAACTTCAGTTTTATTATACGCATATTTTTTTCGCGGTGACAATCATAAGTATAATTTTACGTGAAAAAATTTAAAAAAGATCTGTTGGCAAACAGCCTCATGGAAGCATTGAGTTCTGAGTAAATGAAAACACAAATTTTTATACTACTCTTCGTGTATAAAGGCAGTCAGCTGGTTAACAAACCCAGCAGTGTACTGTGACAAAATAAAGAAAACGAGCACAAGTTTACTTTGACTTTTTCGCGCATCATGATTGTGAAAATCTTTTTTTTCTGTTGTTTACTCTTGATATTTTTGATGCTTATTAAAAATTTTTATACTACTTCAGGAAGGAACAGAAGCGAGAATACGAGATTAGTGGTTAGAGATTTCGTTTACCATGTATATAATACTCACTATTAATCCTTAAATCCACGAGGCTTTAAGGTTTTAATTACACAAAGGTGGCAGAATTTTTTTAATCTATACTGTGAAAGAAATCTATTTGAAAGTTTCGCGGGACTTTTTTCACCGAGTAATTAGTTTCTGCGATTTCGGCGTACAAAACTCAAGTATAACACCAGTGTCGCATTGATACTTGTTGCTGCAATGGCTAGAGAAAGAGAAACTTTCATAGTAGTGACTTGCTTTTGGATTCGCCCATTAATTGCTACCGACGACAAAGTTCAAGTTCCGATGTAGAAAACGAATTTATACGCTAACTTTTCTGTGTCACTCTGTTATTTTCTTCGTTAAAATAACATTTTCAGACGTTATTGTCATGAAAATAATGCAATAAAAATAAGCTGTACAATGTTCTATAATGTTTTTAATGATCGCTCTCTTTCACATTACGTCCTGAAGCATTTCGAAACATCAACACGCAAACATTGCCAGTTAAGGTTAGTAAAGTGATACTAATTTTATGAACAAAGGAAAATGATTTTCCAAGCCCAATCTTGGTGAAAAAGCGTCGTTACGATAACGCGATATACAAAGAAAAGCGCCATGGTATTATCAAGACTCAATCTCAACTTCCAGAGCACGCATGGTCTGCGACCCCTTCGACCGTGTCCCCATGCAGTATAGAGTCCTATATACCCATATAGTACAGTCTCGAACTAAAGTTATGCACATTCACTCAAGCGAAGAAAAGAGGGGAAATGTTTACTTGTGCGCGTCTCAGCGAGTAGGTAATTGATGATTATACGGCTCTTGTTTGCGATTTGCGTTACATCTTGTAGGTGTGACATTAATGGGGATTTATCAAATAAACTCACGTTCATGATAGAAAAGTATTCACAAGTCTCAAAATTTCTTTTATATTTATAGGAAATGTAATATCTTAGATATGATAAATGGCAATGTTGACATAAAGTACAACTAAAACGACTATTTAACAGACCAAAACTCATTTTGAAATAGCTCCCTAGATTTGCATTTAAAAAAAAGGGACAGATGAGCAGCATCCTACTTGTAATTCCAATCTCGACAGAACATGGAAATAATCTTGACCCTCGTCGCCCTGGCAGTGATAACGATCGCGAGGCTGATAAGCGCCTTCACGCGCGAGAGTCCTTTCTAGCAAAAGAGGGGGAAACAAAGCAAGCAAACTGTTCTCTCTTGCTGGGGTCACGTACAGTAGTAAACAACGGTCGTGTGTTTCATTTTGGGGCGTGGCGTGTGCACAAGCTCATAACGATACTCTGGCTTGTTTTTTTAGGTATACGTATCGCTCGCTTGGGGTATGTTATTGAATGACAAAAGGCTATAAGGTGGAACTTGATGATATACTCGATTTTTTCTTTTTTGTTTTTTCTTCTCTCACCACAGTATTCTGTGATTGTTTTTCACACATGGGGTTTTTAAATAAGCAGTTTTTAAGTAATTACATATTATAATTTAGCTCTCCTTATTTCATCAACATAATCCACGTCATTCTAGCACGTTTTCTGAAAATATCTTACACATGATTTTTAAAGTGAATTAAGTAAGGTTTTCTCCTTTAATACGATACCAAGTTAGCTTAGCTAGTTAATATCTGAGAAAATTTATTGTGATGTTTTTAAACTCGAAATTTATTTGAGGAGATTGTATAGCATCGAGAAATGACCTACAAAAGTTGTAAGGGTCAGAGGGGGTCATCTGATGGTGACCTTCAGGTTGAACTTGAAATTGATTTTCTAAGTAATTTTAAAGTCAACATTGGACTTTTAAATAGGAATCCCTATTTTCGACCATAGATTTACAAAGAGCGGAAAATTTTACGTTCAGACAAATTATTACATGTCAGGTCCGGTTGACCCCGTAAGGTCGTGTAGAGCTCATTTTTTTAATCTTAATTTTTTCGGCACAATTACTCGTCGAGCTTAAGGGTTAGTAAAGAATGTTTCAGATAAAAGTTGCTCAACCTAGGAAAACGTCATTTTTTATAACCTTGTCTTTGACCTTGAAGATCATAATCAAGGTCACTTCAAAGTCAATTTTGGAATTACGAACAGAAATCCCTAATTCGACGTTGAATTCCGAAAGAGTGGTAATTTTACGATATCACATGAGGTATCATACATGGGTCAGGTTGACCCGTCAAAGTTATGGATAATAATGAAAGAACTCCTTAAGAACTCAATAATAATCGATCGTAAGTTGAATAAATTTGAGTTATACATTTCTAATCCACATTCATTATCGTAAAAATTTTTCTTTTTTTTTTCGTGCTACACTAGCGGAATACAAATTAATTATCAAAATCATCCAAAGATAAGAGCTTCATGTGGTATTTTTTAATAAACTCTATTATCATACCACTCTTTTCAAGTCGTTTTTTCCTAATCCGGGGTCCAATTAGGAGCTTCTATTCATAAATCCAAAATTGTCTTTGAAGTGACCTTGATTATGACCTTTAAGGTCAAAGATAAAGTCGTGAAAAATGACGTCTGTCTAGGTTGAGCAACTTTTATCTGAAACATTTTTAGCTAACCCTTACCCACAACGAGTAATTGGGACGAAAAAATTGAGATTAAAACAATGACCTTGCAGGGTTGCCCGGACCCCATATGAAATATCTCATCTGAACGTAAAATTTTCTGCTCTTTGTAAACCTATAACTGAAAATAGGGATTCTTGTTTAAAATTCCAATGTTTATTTTAAAATTACCTAGAAAATCAATTTCAAGTTCGACCTGAAGGTCACCATCAGATAACCCCCTCTGACCCTTACAACTTTTGTAGAGGTCATTTCTCACTGCCACGTATCCTTAATCCGGTATCCGACCCTCTTTATTAAAATAGCGTACCCTGTATATGTATTTTAACTTTTATGACCGTAGTTTAATTTCAAAATTGAAATAGAGATCCCTCAACTGTCAAAGGTTAATTAACTGAATCTGGAGACGAAAGGGTAGGAAGATAAAAGTGTCCACTAAAGGACTACCACACTACCAACTAAACTCTGCCTTCTTTTTGTCTCTCTCTCTCATCTCATCTCATATCGGGAGATCCTTTCAATGAATTTTGAAATGCGTTATTGTTTGTCAACTCGTTAATCTACTGCACCTACGGCCGTAAGTGATTTTGAACATCCTGTGTACATCGCTGTTTGTTTGTACATCATCGAGAGACATTTAATTTGATTGTATAAACTTTGTATTAACAAATTGGGAAAAAAGGAAGAAAATTAATACATTTGCCCAGCATGAACAGTGATTGAGGGAGACATGATCATTCGATTATCAAATTTATTGACACGCGATATTCCATTTCGAATTCGATTCTATTCATTTTACAAAAATACTGCTTGTTTTGTCCATTAAACTCCTATTGTGATCGATCACCTTACAATTAATTAATTAAACTTATAAATTGCATTCACGAATGGAATGTGTGAATTCATGTTTGCGCTGTTCTATGAGTCTACGGATTTACATTTATTGTGCATATTTTAATAAAGTCTTGGGCCCTCACGCACCGTGACGAGTGATCGCTTACTTTTGTTTTTGTCGATGATTACGATGATGGCTGGGTTGTTCGATGACTTGTTAGGCTCCGGAAACAATCGATTGCCTCATTATTGCAGGTGTATCCGTGCTGCCAGTCGACAAGGTGACTTTGCTAAATAAGTTAAACTTCATTCTTATGGATTACTTGAACTGAGGGCTAGACCGCTCCAAGAACCACCCACGACCTCAATGCTGCTAGCGTACTTCTCCGTATATTATTTTTGAGAATGCTTATGCTATAGAGCCCTTGGATAGCGAGTAACTTGTATTGACATGTAGCTTAATATGACTTTATTTTCTGAGATACCGATGTAGCAGTCGTGGTGTAAGTCGAGTGTCGAACTGGCGAGTGATACTGGAGCGATCATGGTCTCCCGCAAAATCGTTGGCAGTGCTACGTCAATCATCACAAATCGATCGCACGACCCATCGAGCCATCGGCCGCGCGACGCGCGATCGCCCAATCCTATAGTCATACGTCACAATTGTTAACCGATTCTACGCAAAATTTATTATATTATATTCAAATGTTTTTCTAAAACGATCCAACGTATTTTTGCAAAAAAGTAGTTGGCCTTTTGACGCAAGGTAAAGTACTTATTAAATTGACATAGTGATAGCTTACTACATAATTACAAAGCAGCTATCTGGAACGTTTTCTTTTGCTACGAGATCAACCCGCAGTGAAGGCTTAATTGAAAATCTAGTATAATGAGGCAGAGCCGATCACACTGCTGTAGATTCTAGAAGTCCGTATCCTAAAAGGTTCGTGGAAAGGGTAATTTTCCATTGCAGTTCAATCACAGTAGAAATCGTCACATGCCTGAAGATCCTGTTTTTTGAAGTTGCTCAAGTAGCTTGCTTATTGCTAGAGAGTTGGAGGCTCCTTGATTGGAGCAGCTCAAACAGTAGAACAGAATTGACCGATGCAGCGACTTTTATAATGAGCACTTATATTGCTAGTCTCGTCCCCCTCCATCTCCAGACTCCTGCTATGGGTAAGGAGTTAAAATTACCTGAGGAGGAGGTGCACCTTAGTGATGGCACGCAATCAACTGCATTCAGTAATGACGTCACAGGAAGATTATAAAACATTATATTCCTAGTTAGTATTTGTGTGGAATCCCAAAAACAAAATAAGAACAAAATCAGTCATCGTTGCGAATACCTGAGTAAAGACCTCTTCTGTAATCTCAGCACAATCAACAACAAAATAACAAGAACCTGGTAGGAGCTCGGAAAAATTATGGATTGTTCACATCAACAGTATAGAAAACGAAACGGTCGCCATTAATAATAAGCACAGCAAACATTTATCGCCACCACAAAAGATTTTAAAGAGGCTAGATACAACATGAACTTGATATAATATTCTACCGTAATATAAGCTTGTAACATTACCTCTCACCTTTTATGCTGTGTGATATTTAATAAGGTTGCCTGATCAAAATCTGTAATACTGCATAGCTTGTATGCGGTGCCTAAACAAAAGAAGCGCTTAATTACGTTGTTTTGAATTGCACTCTCGTGCAATAAAACCGAGTCCAGAATAGGCTTGTTATTGAAGGGCCAGAAAGTCTGGAAGCACAGACTGTGCAATCTAACTTTCCTGAGTAGATGTAACGCTATTTCAGACACTTGCAGGAATCGAACTTTTTTTACGAACGGTATTTTACCCAAACATTTGCAGGGACCGAATAATAGCTAATCCTAATATTAATTCAGACACTTGCGGGACCAATATAGCGTGGTATTAGAAAATTGATGAATAGGTCCATTCGGCAAAGTAAATAACAGAAAAAGGACGTATGAAACATGGATAACAAATAACATATTTTTATTGATCGACACAATTGTTGTTGATTTTTCTAATGTCTTTGCACTATAAAAATTGACGAATTCCGATCCGAAAACTATATAACACTCAATTCAACGAAAATTAAAGTACTAATACGGGCCCATGCCTCCTGGTAGATTCATAATTGGCCGAAAGCGTGAACTCTCTAACCTGTGTGAATAGGCACATATTTGAGTTCGATTCTTTTTTTGAAAAGATGGCTTAATGAGTACTATTTCGTGGGTTTATAATATTATGAAATTTCATAATTTTAATTTATGTCAATGGAATGAAAGTGATTGAATAAATTATTTATAAAATAAGGGAACGGTCATAAACCACGTAGACCATCCGAGGGAATCCGCAGAAACACTATGATAAGCTACGTGGGAGGAGGGAGGGGGTTTCTGTCCGAAGTACGTGGTTTTGTATTGATACTATCTATATTAGTTTTATTTGGCGTTGAAAAACCCACGAAAGAGTTATATACTCCCAAGCATGATCATGCCGTAGACTATTTCAAAGTATTCAATTTAAATGCCTTATTTATAATTACCAATGCAGCTGGATGGAGTGCATATAATCGTGGAAAGACGTGTGGTACCCTCGCGAGTTAGCTGGCTTTATTCTACAGCATTATCACTTTGTCTCTTATTTAAATAATTCTGATCTTACCATTGATGAAAATCTCGAACGTGGTAATATTAAATTTGCTGGAGAAACTGTAATTGATTTATGGAGTCACCATTGATGGTTACAAAGTTACAGCAAACTTTATCGACGTAAACGAAGATGTTCAACAGCCCGCTTCTGTTTCATTTGATTGGTACGATTTGTACGTGCAAGAAAGTCAATATTGTCTCCAGGTATACAATTTTTTTCTACTAAAATTATATTGTCAGATATCAAATGTGACGATAAAGATTGTTGTGGAGATTAGAGAAGCAACTCAAAAGATCTTCTTCCAATAAGTAAGGGATTTCTATCACCTCTATTCCCACTGTGCAGATCAGATGATGATAAACTTGTAATACCTAACCCAGAAGACGTTCAAGCTAAAGATAGTTTTCGTAACCTTTTTCTCAGATAAGCTATCGGTTTAAAGCCAACGATTGTTACTAGTCTTCCTATAACATACAATTATTACTGTTCTTCTATACGTGACGATGTTATTGGTAAGTTGTGAATCGTATTTTTTTATTTCATGCTTTTATAATTTCTTAATGTGTCATACATTTTTTTTTATTTATACTAGGAAGAACTTGCGATACTTGTGGTATCTACTATGCGTCTAAAAAGCAATTGTCTTTGCACGTCAAAGCAATACATGGTCGAACCATAAATAACAAAAAATATCTTGCTAAGAGAGTACTGGAACGTCGTAATAGTGAGTTGATGTGTGAAACCGATTGCATGCCAGAACCAGTAAATACTAATTTAAGGAGGAGGAAGTCGAAATAGACGAAAATATTTGTGAAGTCAATCGTGACGCTGAAGAAACAAGTTACCTGTTATAGGTGATATGCATGCATGGCTAGTCTTACCTTTTATTCAATCTGATAGCTTGCATTGAAGCAAAAATACTGTTTTAATGAACAGTTTCTTGTATTTATTAAATCTGCAGATTTTTATTATATGAAAAACCACGAGATTTATTGTGTGTGTAGGAAGGAGGTGAGGTTAAAAGCTATACGGTATGGTACATGATACATACGGTATGATACATACGGTACGGTATATACATGGGGAAGGGTTAATTATTGATCAAAATCTGGCTACGTGGCTTATAAATGTTCCTTAAAATACGAAATTTCAATTTCATTCATTCATACTGACTCTACCTATTGAACATAAAAGTTAACAATAAATTGATTAGTCAATATATTTAATAATATGTTATTGCATTTTTCTTAGATTACTTATTATAAGTTAGTAACTTCGAGAGAGAAAGAGAGAGAGAGAGAGAAAGAGAAATAGTCTGTAAACGACATAATTTTTATTAAAAAATATAAAATTTTATAAATAGTAGATTACGTAACGTCCTATTATTAATACCACATAAAAATTTCTATAACAAATAAGACTTATATAGCGTGTTAAAACTTTAGGTAATATCAAATTTATTAGTGATGAAGAACTTATTAGTAATAAATATACAAGACCTTATTCTAGCAAATGAAATATTTTAAAAACCTTCCAAAAGAAAGTTGAAATTTTGTGTGTATATATATGAAAAAAAAATCTTTGTATTTTGTGAAAAAAAATTAATTTTTGTCTGCAAATTGTAATAGAACAAACAAATTTATTAAACTTTTTATAGTTTTCTAACACATTTGTTACGTGATTGTAGTCACGTAATTCCCAAAAATCTTTGAAACTTAACCAAACCTCTATTTCGATCCAAGTTTTATACAAATATTTTAACGATCTATCAATTGTTTATGTAAGCTTTAGGATCCTGGATAAAAATCTACTCTTGACGATCACTCTTTCTATACATAGTTTTTAGGGAGGAGGGAGCGGCCAAACCTTAGTTTCAAGATTAGGGCCACATGAAAAATAATTTCTAATTTTATGTTCCAAAACACAGTAAAAACACCCTAAATAAACGTAATTTGATCAGGTATACAACAAAACGATATAGGGTGGAGGGGGGGAGTGCAAAACTCGCGGGGAGAGAGAGAGAGAGACAAAACTTGAGCTCTCCTTACGTATGTATGTTTTTTTTTTTTTTTTTTATAAGGGGTTGGGTAAAAATCTTTTAAAGACCAGACGGCCATTGTTGACGAAGCCGTCGAAACGACCTCGGCACCAATGTGCCGTCTTGTGTCGGAGTCTCCAATATGTGGTATACCGACTAAAAACCCTTCGTCCTACGGCCATGTTATAACGCATAGCCGCAACACGAAATTCCCCTGTCGACTTCTAGCACCCACCGGTACTCCTTTTCAGTATTACTTCGGTGGGTATGTATGTATGTATGTATGTATGTATGTATGTATGTATGTATGTATGTATGTGTGTGTATATATATATATATATATATATATATATATATATATATATGATAAAAGGTTCATATTATATATTTATATAAAAGAATATAGAGATTGATCTTAATATTCAGTCACCATCATACCCGCAACCACCAAAAATTAATTTTCTGAAATTTAATTAAAATATTAGGTTCATAGATCCTTGACACCTAACAACATTGATGAAAGAAAAATTAGTACTTTAAAAAGTCATCCACTTTGAGGTTTACACCGAGTGAGCCGGTAGCTGGCTTCGTACCGATCTCGCAGCGACAGCTCGTCATGTCGTTAACCACGAGAATCTAATTAGCCGACGCCAGCTGCCAGTGTGGCTGCCGCGTGACTGAACACCTGCTGCTGGATTCAAGAGCTACACGCGTGTGTATATATGTAGAAGTCAAAGGATGTCCTCATATTTTTCGGTGACGTTCTACGTGCGTACACTAATCGTTATTGTACATTGTGTACGGTTGGTGGATGTGGATTTGCTTATGTTTATTACCGATATCTAGTGGTTGGAGTGACTGTATTATGAGAAAACTTTATTAATGAAATTACAACTTTTTTATGAACGGTAATTTCATACGTTCACAATGGAAGGACTCTTAAACTTATGTACAGGAAGCTGACATTATCACTCTTTTTTAAAATAAATTGCTTCATCATTAATTTTCACGGTAAATATCACGCAAGACATTTTATTACAAATTTTATTTTGCGACTTTTCTGCCAAACTTACTATGTTATCTATTCAACTTTTTGTTCGTTCAGTCACTCATCCACACATTGTTGTCATTTAACGACTTTGGTTAGTACATAGCAAAAACAAGGGAAATATGGATCAAAATTTTTCGGTGTAAATTTTTATGCACTTGGCGTTCCTCGTAAATCAATGTTGTAAGCACGCGACAAAATGAACAGCGGGTGTACGCGCGCGCGAGAAAAAAAAGTGGTAAAGGCAAAGTATCGATCATCTTCGTTGGCCACTGACGTGAAAAACACTCTGGCGAGAGAGAGAGAGAGAGAGAGAGAGAGAGAGAGAGAGAGAGAGAGAGAGAAATTACAGCTGCCGGTGAAAGCCGAGTCTAAACTCGTATGTGGATGAAGTGTATTAAGGTTTACTGGCAAGTTTTTCTTTTCTTTCTACGCCGCGCTATTTTTAGATTGTTTTACGCACAGGATATTTTTTGGTTTTTGCTTTATACGCTATAATTGTTTTCTATCGTGTGCTGGCTTAGCTTTTACTAAAATGAAAACCAATTGAAACCTTTTGCATTTGAAATTTGGATTATACTTTACTTCTTCGTTCACTAGTGTTTAACTATAATCCATGGACGAAATTCATTGAATAATATATGGCGGAAAGACAATATTTATTATAATTTAAACAATCAACTTTTTGCAACACCTACATACTATTGTTAAAATAATTCTAT